GTTGCAGTTTGCATGCGATTTTGCCCCATCGTCCATTTTGAATATGAGTTCGTTCCGTCCCAGCCGAGCTGGCATCGCCTTCCCCCCCCCGCCATGTTCTGTAACAAATCTTATGCGCGTGCATATGTTGATCACAAATCATCAGTTCCCAAGAGTCCCTTGCAACAGATGGAACGAAGTGCACGCGCGCGTGTCGTCGCGCGCACATGCCGACATCCTTCAAACACTTTTGGTTTCGGAAGGAATTCGAAATCGAGTGCCCAAAACACATTTAATTCACACTCGGTTTCGCAACAACTGGTTTCCACAAAAAAGAGCGCGCGCGTTCTTGCGAATCCTGGGGGGAACCATAGGTGTTGTTCAGCATTTTTCCGACAAAATTACCGAGCGGGCTTCGCGCGCGCATGCCGGCATCGGTCGAACGTCTTTGCGCGCGTGTCGTCACGAGAGTCCTTCGCAACAAATGGGACGAAGTGCGCGCGTGCGTCGTCGCGCGCGCGTACCGAGATCCTTCAAAAACTTTCGGCTTCGTGGCGATTTCAGATTCATAGCTTGCGCGCGCTCTTGCAAGTTCTTAAGACAACAGTCGGTGTTCCAGCATCTTCATGAAATTATGCCAAGCGGGCCTCTGGCGCCGCATGCCGGCATCATTCGCGCGCTCTTGCGCGCGCGCTGGGGGGCGGGGGGGGGCGCGATCCGCGTCGCGCGCAACCATGGGGCCCACTCGCGCGTCGGCCGAGCGCGCATGTCGAATTTCTTCCTGCGCCTTCATCACCGACGCGAGGACGCCGTCATCGTCGTCGGCGCGATCAGCATCATCGGCGCCCGCGCTGGCCGCGCCTCCGTCGGTGCGAATTTCGCAACCAGCATCGCCACTATCATCATCGTGTCTACCGCTGGCGGCGTTACCATGATACCGCGCCCGCCCAAGTCGCCGAGTCGCAGTGAAGTGCCTGCTGGGATGCGCCCAGCGGTCAGCGCCACCGCGGCCGCGTCGGGGGCGCCAAACTAGCTGGCCGCCGCGCGCGCGTGCTAGGGTTGGCGGGGCCGCGGAGATGCCCCAGCCAGCGCCAAGCATGCATCGCAATCGCCACCGCGTGGGTTTTGAAACCAAGTTGCGGGTGGGTGGGTGGGATGTTTGCAAGAGCATGGGATGTGTCAACTCATGGATAAATCAATTGCTCCACGACATCTCCTTTCTAAAAAGAGAATAGACTTCCCCCCCGCCGACTTTATCGGCACATCTTTTCTGCGTTGCAAATTACGTATGCTTCTGCTCCATCGTCCATCGCATACACGCACTCAGACCACCCCAGCCGAGCTGGGTTCGACCTCTCCCCCCCCTTCCCGCACTCTGCGACACATACTATTTGCGCGCATTCGTTTATCAAAAGTTCTCAGTTTGCATGAACCCCTTGCTAACAACATGACGAAGTACACGCGCGCGCGCGACGTCGCGCGCGCATGCCGAAGTGCTTCAACAACTGTCGACGTGGCAAGGGTTTCACGATCGACTGTCCAAACCACGTATAATTTAACACATGGTTTCGCGACATCAGTTTCTCAAAAAAGCGTGCAAGCGCGCTCTTGCGAATTCTTTGGAAAACCATGGGTTGTTTTTTTCTTGTTTTTTTTATCCAAAATGTTCAGAACACACGATCAAACGGGCTTCGCGCGCGCACGTCGAAATCGTCCGAGCGCCCTTTCGCGCCGCGAGAATCTTCTGCAACAGAAATGGACGAAGTGCACGCGCGCGCGTCGTCGCGCGCGCAAGCCGAAATCCGTCAAAAACCTTCGCTGGCGCAGCGATGTTCGAACCGACTGCCCCAAAAACATTCAAAAGCACATGGTTTCGCAACATCAATTTTCCAAAAAACAGCTTGCGTGCGCGCGCTCTTGCGAACCCTTCAGCGAAGCATCGACCTCTCTACATGTTCACAGAATTCTGCCAAACGGGCCTCTGGCGCCGCATGCCGACATTATTCGCACGCCCGCGCGCGCGTGCCGGGGGGGCACGATCCGCGTCAAAACAAACCATGCGGGCCACCCTCGCGCGTCGGCCGCACGCGCATGTCGAACTCTTTCGGAAACCGTCATCACCGACGCGAGGACGCCGTCATCGTCGTCGGCGCGATCAGCATCGGCGCCCGCATTGGCCGCGCATCCGTCGGTGCGAACATCGTCAGCAGCATCGCCTCTATCATCGTCGTGTCTACCTTTGGCGGCGTTGCCGTGATACCGCGCCCACCTAAGCCGCCGACTCGCAGTGAAGTGCCCGCTGGGACGCGCCCAGCGGTCAGCGCCACCGCGGCCGCGCAAGTGGCGCCAAACAAGCTGGCCAATGTGCGTGCGCGCTAGGGTTGGCGCGGCCGCGGAGATGCACCAGCCAGCGCCTAGCATGCATCGCGATCGCCACCGCGTGGGTTTTGGAAATCAAGTTGCGGGTGGGTGGGTGGGGCGTTTGCAAGAGCATGGGAATGCGTCGGTTCATAAGTAAAATCAAATGGAGCACATAGATTGCACCGCATGTTCTGCAACACATAGATTCTTTTTTCCACAAAGAGAGTAAACTCTACCCCCCCCCCTGGCTTTACCGGTCCAACTTGTTGTGTTGCAATTTACATGCGAGCGATTCTGCCCGCCGACCATCTGAATTATGAGTTCTTATTATCCCAGCCCGGCCGGCATCGACCCTCCCGCCATCCTCGACAACAAATTCTTATTCGCGCGCGCTCTTGCATCAACATTTATTAGTTTTCATGGGCCCCGTGGGGGGACAAAGGAAGAAAACCAACAACACGACACAACAAAAAAACAACGAAGTGCGCACGCGCGCGTCGTCGCGCGCGCATACCGAAATCTGTTGTGAAACATTTGGAGCCGCAATGATTTCAAAATCGAACGTCCAAAAAACCCTTTTGTATAACAGAAACAACTTAGGGTTTCGCAGCGCGGATGTTCAAAAAATGCGTGCGCGCGCGTTCTTGTGAATCCTTGAGGGTTTTCAGCGAGCGGGTTTCTCGCGCGCATGTCGAAATCGTTTGAACACCCCTGCGCGCGTTGCCGTCGCGAGAACCCTTTGCAAAACAATGGGACGAAGTGCGCACGCGCGCCTCGTCCCACGCACTTGCCGAAATCATTCAGAACAATTCCGGTTCCGTAGCGACTTCAAAACCGAGTGTCCCAAACACAGTCAACAACACAAGGTTTCGCATTATAAGTTTTCAAATTAGGTTGCGCGCGCGCTCTTGCGAATCCTGCAGAGAAGCCGGCGTGATCAGCATCGGCGCCCGCATTGGCCGCGGTTTCGTCGGTGCGAACATCGTCACCAGCATCGCCATTATCATCGTCGTGTCTACCTTTGGCGGCGTTGCCATGATACCGCGCCCACGTAAGCCGCCGACTCGCAGTGAAGTGCCCGCTGGGGTGCGCCCAGCGGTCAGCGCCACCGCGGCCGCGTCGGCGGCGCCAAACTAGCTGGCCGCTGCGTGCGCGTGCTAGGGTTGGCGCGGCCGCAGGGATGCGCCAGCCAACGCCAAGCGTGCATCGGAATCGCCACCGCATGGGTTCTGCAAACCAAGTTGCGGGTGGGTGGGTGGGATGTTTGCATGAGCATGGGATGTGCCAACTCGCTTTTTAACATCAGTTGCACCACGTAGGTTGCACCACATATAGTGCTCCACATAGATTGTGCCACATATATGGCACCACAGAGATTACGCACCATAGGTTGCACGACGTAGATTGCCCAGGTGAGATTGCACAACTTTGATCGCATCACAGATCTTGCACCACATACATGTGTAGTTTGTGCCGCATTCATTTCCCCACGCAGATTGTCCACATATACTGCTAGAAACATTGTGCCCACGGTGGCTAACATACCTATACGACCACCCTTCGGGTGATAAGGAAGATCGGGGGGGGAGGAACCGACGTCTCACGCACGCGATCTCACCACCGATGTTTTATCGATCTCACAATCGATGCCACTCGCTCGATTGTTGTAGCACCGATTTCAGCATCGATATCATAATCGATCTCGCTATCGATATCATTGTCGATCTCATTATCCCTTTCACTATCGACCTTTCAATCGATATCAATATCGACTTTCCCGTCGATCTCACTACCGATCTCACTATCGATATTATTATATATACCACTATCGATCGCACCATCGATTGCACAATCGATCTCACTATCAATATCATAGTCGATCTCACGATCGATTGCACAATCGATGGTACTAACAATCTCACGATCGATCTCACCATCGATCTCACTTTCGGTCGCACGATCGATCTCACTACCAATCTCACTACGGGACACCGACAGGATACCGACGGGACACCGACGGGACACCGACGGGACATTGACGGGACACTGACGGGACACCTGCCGGACACCGACGGGACACCCCGTGACACCACGGGACACCATTTTGACACTACGGCGGGACACCCCCGGCCCCCGCCTGCCACGCTGGGGGCTGGAGGTCTTTTGGTCCGGCCACGGCCTAGCCAGAGGAGGGTTCGTTCTTCTCGCCCGCCCGCGCAGCTTCGCCTCGCCCGCACGCACGACACGCACATGAAACCGAAACCGATTTCCCGGTGGTGCGTTCTCCGTTTCATGCGATCTCACCCCCAACCTCCGATATATGCATGCGAGGAGTCAAGGTGGTCGTGTGTCGCAATGTCATAGACTCGCTTATGCAAACGGCGCCTTCTGTTCGCGACAGAGTCCACACGAAAAGACACCTTGACCGCCGGCGGGGTTGGAGCGGAACAGTAGGCGCCCACCAGCGAAAGCCAGGCGGCGAGAATGCCGAGTGCCCCGCGGGCCTGACCGCCCCTTTGTCAGGCCAGATTGTCTCTCCTCCCTCCGAGGGGTGCTTGCCAAGTTGGAGTGCTCTTCTGTGCGCCGCCTTCTGCCGTGAGACGGTGCGCGCTGGCGGCCCGCCTTGGGCCGCGTAGACGCGCGTGCCCCCCACGACTGCAATGCCAGAGGAGGACACACGCTCAGACGCGTCGTTCCAGTCTGCCGCCGACGAGGACCTGCGGCTCTGTGGCGCCGTCTGGCCTCCGTCCGCGCCTTTCCGCCGCCTCCCAGGCGTCCTCCTGGTGTCGCTGCCCAGCCCTCCTCGTCCGCCGCCGCCCAGCCACGAGGACCCTTGCCGTGCACCCTCGAGCCAAGCGTCGGCGGCGCCGTGACACCTCCCCTTCTACTCCTCCGCCTCCTTCCGGCTCATCTGTTTTAGATGGGGGCTCGGACCGGGTGCCAGGCCCCACGAGGCGGGAAGCCTTGGCATGGTCGATGCGTCCGCTCGGGGCTCTCAGGCGCCATCTCGGCCAGGAACGAGCATAGGGAAGTCGAGGGGAATGGAGGGGAGCACTACCAGCAACGGGCCACGCCCGACAGGCGGTTCGAACTGATCGCTGGCCAGTGACGGAGCGGTCGTGACGGCTTCGCCCTGGGATCCCTTCGCCCGCTCTAGCCGCGCTTTACGCCCCGCCGCCCCACCCCAGGCTTTGTTGTTCCCCCGGCCCCTGCTGAGCAGTCGTGTCCAGGAGGAGTTGGCAGTCGGCCGCGTGGCGGGAGGTTCTTCCAGCGTGCGAGTTTGCCAGCTTACAAGATGGGCTCCGTCGCGGCTCCAGCCCCGCAGGCAAAGAATCATTTGGTGGACGTGCGCCCTGTGTCTTCGATTCTCACTGGTTTTTGGTTGGGCGTCGATTTGCCGAAATTCTTGGCGCTTCGCGGGTCCCCACCAGTTTATTCAGAAAGAATGGCCAGGCGATTTGTCGGGAGACGGGAAGTAAGCATGCAGTGAAACAAGTGGCCGACAGCAGGGAAACCAAAGACCTTTCGAAGGCTTCGAGCCATCCTGGTGCTCTCTTGGGGCCCTTTTGGTGAACACTTGGGGCACTCTCGGAGCTCTCTTGGGAGCCCTCTGGCCTCTTGGGCCCATCTTGGAGACCATCGGCCAAACAGGAGATCGCGCCGATGAGCGCTGCCCCTCGGTGCTCGGAAAGTGACCTCTTGTAGCCCTCTGAGGCGCTCTTGGGGCCGTCTGGGAGATCGATGGTTTTGGTTTTGAGCGAACAGCGGGTCCCCAATTAGCATCGCTCCGGATCCTAAAACTTCGTTTCGTGGAGCCCTGTGGGACGCTCTTGGGCGCTCTTGCAGCCGTGTTAGCCCCCTCGTGGGGCGCTCGTTGACCATGTTTGAGCTATCGTTGGGCTATCTTTGGGCCTCTGAGATTCAGAGGCCCATCGGGAACGAAACGGCAAGGAGCCAGACCACTCTGAAACGCCTTCAGGCTGCTTAAAGGTGTTGGCATACTGGGGGGCTCCTTGAGGCGTTCCGTCGCCATCGCATGCTCACTCGCCCAGATTCAGGAGAGTGGAGAGGGATACGCAAATCCATTCTTGAACGGGACGAAGGATAACCACTATTCCCAGATGGCTGCTGTGGTTAGCTTAGCGAAGGGCCCCGTATTACGCCACTACGTGAATCGTAGGAGGTGGCCTTCTGACCATGTAGTGCAGGCCTCGAGAGGAAGGGATCAAACGGAGCGCCGGTGTGCAGACGTGCCCACTGGGGTCGTGGGTGGAGGTCCCCATGGGGCGCGATCCGTGTGAGGGTGTGCGTGTCATATCGCCTCCTAGCCTGATAATGTTCCAGAAGGATATGGCTTGCTGCGCTCCGCAGCCCTTCGCGAGGCTCGAGAAAAAAGGTTTCGGTTTCGAGATCAGATAGCTCCCGCAGATACCGCCGCCCATTTTGGGCTCTCGGATGGTAGCGGAGCGCTTCAGCTCTGGACGGTCCACGGCTACAGAGACATCGTCGGCGAAGGCCGGCGAGAACGACGGCTCTGAGCTGATCAGCATCAGCAGCGGCGGTGAGAGAGACTACCAGTGCGACTTGAAGAGGGCTACGATCCAGCTGATGTTGCTCGGCTGGATCAGAGGATACTGGTCGGAGCCCGGCAGGTGGCTGTGTGCTATCAAGAAGCAGGGCAAGCTCGCGATTCAAGACATCGAGGATGGCGACACCAGAGGAGATCGTCAGAAGGCTCGAGGCGCTCGAGCAGGCGAACGTCGAGCTGGTCCAGGAGGCTCGACGCCAGCGGGATCGAGCGGATCAACTTCAAGAGGCAGCCGCGCGCGCCGCTGACGGTGGCGCGGCGGCAGGGGCAGCGGCTGGAGCAGCTGCTGCAGCGACGGCAGAGCTCGACGCGACGCCGTTCGACACGAAGATCACGAATAATCCCGATAGGTTCGATGGCAAGCAGGAGTCTTGGTCAGACAGGTGTTTCTTGCACACCATCGAGCTGATGGATAGGAGTACGACCATGGACGAAGAAGTGGTCATGGGCAGATCGTTCAATGACGAGAAAGCTGGAGACGAGAAGCACTCGATGATGCTGCTCCACTTGCTGACGGTGAGTATGACGATGAAGTATCGTGGATTCAAGCTGGTCAACAGCACGAAGAGCTCCAACGGTTTCGATGCTTGGAGGCAGTTGATCATGGAGTACGAACCCAGAGTCAGAGGAAGACAAGGTGCGCTGCTCAACGACGTTCAAGGCTGGAGTCGGTCACCGTGAAGCCATAGAGACGTGGGGGCGCGAGGTTGCCGAGTATGAGGAGCAGGCCGCGGATATCTTGCCAGATTCAGTCAAGGCGAACGCGCTGGTTCAAGGACAGGAAGATGAAGTTCTGAAGTTTCACCTGACGTTGAACTCGAACAGGCCCATGAGGGATAAGGACATCAGAAAGGAGATCATGGACTACATCGTGAATCATCGTGTTTGGCATCGAGACAACGATCAGATGGCACCGGTGGACGTGAATGCAGTTCGCAGCTGGTACGACAGGCGGCAAAGACTCCAAAGGCAAGGGCAAGGGTGCCAAAGGTAAAGTCAAAGACGACAAATGCAAAGCCAAAGGCAAAGATAAAGACGAGAAAGGCAAGTCCAAGGCTGCGAAGAAAAGCAAGTGGCGCGACTGGCGCAAGATGGCAGGACACGCGACGGAGACGCGCAGGAGAAAGAGACGCTATGATCAGAGGCAGGCGAGCCGGAACAGCAATACCAATGCAGTCGTTCCCCAGCAGCAACCAGCTCAACCTGGGCGCGCGACGCCCACCATCGGCCCGAACGGCTCGGCATCACTCGTGAACGCGTTAGCGCAACATCACTTGGACATGGCGAGGAGACTGGCGCAGTCGACAGTCGGCCCACCATCGGCGGTGTCAGGATCGGCGATGGCACTTCGACAGGTGAGACGCACGCCGACCACCGTTCAGGAGGAGCGCGCGTACCCGTGGCCCGACACAGACGGCGAGGGGCCCATGTGCGCGAGCATGCTGGCGGCCGCAGGTTCGAATAGCTTTGAAGGCGACGACGCGGACTACCTGATGATCGACTGCGGCGCAGGCATCCCTTCTTGTCCGATGGAGTTCGCAGAGGCAGGACCGCTGGGCAGTAGCAACTGGAAGGAGCCGAAGAACTTGCCGCCGCTTGAGGCCGCGACAGGGCAGTCGATCATCCACAACGGCGCGTGCGAGGTCAACTTCATGGCGACGGCGTTCGACCAGCAGCAGGGTATCTTCCAGATGAGGTTCCAGGTCACGAACGTTAAGTGCCCGATCGTGGCGCAGCAGGACTTGCTGGAGGCAGGCTTCATTCCCAAGTACGGGGTGTACTCATGCGTGCTGGAAGCGCCGGGTGGGCGGATCTTCCCACTGGCGCAGCAGGGCCGCATCTGGTACATGAAGGTGAAGCGCGCGGTCACAGCTAGCGAGGCAGCAGTCACGATCGCCCCACTACGACAGCCAGCTGTAGCTCAACCCATTCCAGTCTATCGGGATGGGCGACGGCCAGGACCAGCAGGAGGCGAGGCAGCAGGAGTTAGCCCAGGAGGAGCAGCGAGCTCATCAGCTGCAGGAGCGGCACCCGCCGCGGCGGCAGCAGCAGCAGAACCTGGAGACGCTTGACCTGCTGACCACCTGGAGATCGTTCGCAAGCAGAGGGGCGCCGTCGAGCTGCACGACAGGCCCGAGAGCAGGGTTGGGAGAGCGGAGGGCGTTCCAGTGATGCCACCGCTTGCCGAACGTCAACTACATCGACTTACCCGCTGGCCGCATCGTTCACGGCGCAAGGCTTGCGTAGCCGGAGGAGGACGCGAAGAAGTACGTCCCAGGATGGACCAGGAGAGAGACGCGCCCAAGGTCTGGATCGACTATTCGTTCCCAGGAATGAAGGGCACCGATGACGTGATGACGCTGCTTGTCTGCCTGGACTTCGAGTCGTCGGCTATGGAAAGTGCGAACGTCATGGAGAAGGGCGCGGTGGATTTCGGCATCACGGTCCTGGTGCAGGCGTTGCAGCATTGGGGCCGCAAGCGCGCGGTGGTGTCGAGTGATCAGGAGAACGCGATCACGGCGCTTGCGAGAGTGGCAGCAGCCGCACGAGACGAGGAGACGGCGTTGCAGGTCGGCCCGAGGCTCGATTCCAAGTCCAAGGGTCCGATCGAGGCGGCTGGAGGCAGAGTCCAGCAGCTCATTCGCGCACTCGCGTACACCGTCAATGCACGCTACAAAGTGGAGCTGAAGCCAAGCGAGCCGATCAGCAGTTAGTTGGCGGGGCACGCAGGCTGGATCCTCACGGGGTTTACCGCGAGAGAAGATGGGCTGACACCGTATCGTCGGCTCGAAGGGCGAGATTACCGCGGTCAGATCGCAGAGTTCGCGGATATCGCGATGCGTTACCCCCGGGAACCGTTGGGAAGATGGAAGCCAGATGGGACAAGCGCATCTGGCTCGGCAAGGCGAACGTCAGCGATGAGCACATGATCGGCACACCACGGGGGCGGGTCTTTGCGAGATCGATCGCCAGGAGGCCTGACCACAAGCGGTGGAACAATAACCTCTTCAGCCAGATCATCTGCACACCCTTCGACCCGAAGGCAACGCTCCTGGCGCAGGAGGCCGTGAACAGGCCGAGGTACCTGACCAAGGGGATTCTCAACCGGTTGGGTCGGACACTTGGCTGCCCAGCTTGTGACGAGACGGGCCAGTACCGCGCTGCGGAGTGCAGAGCCAGACTGAAGGCTTTGCTGGGCGCAGAGGACACTGCGAAGGGCCTGGCAGCACGGGCTGGGGCGCTAGCTGAGGCACCACCACCAGCTCGAGAAGCGGCCAGGAAGCAGTCGGAGCGCGCGCCAGCAGGGGAGCCAGGGCGCGGAGCAGCAGCCGCGGCAGCAGCCGCAGCAGCAGCTCCCAGCGCAGCAGAAGACGTGGCGATGGACCATGAGGAAGAAAGCGTTGAAATGATGGTGTAGGATCCCGTGGAGATCACCGAAGGAGTAAAGCGACCGGTCTCAGAGAAGGAGGAGAAGCCAGAGAGCAAGAAGGCGCGCGTAGTGGGCGGGCTGGCCGTCAACGTCATGCCAATGGAGCTGCGCGTGGTGGACCTCGGCGAGTGCGCCGCGGAGCCGTGCGAGGAGAAGGACCTTTCCAACGCCCAGGGGGCGCTCTCTGGACAGCTGCTTCCAGCAGAGAAGGTTCGAGAAGGAAGAGATCGAGAGCGCGCCGGGAAGGGCATGGAGTGTTCTAGCGGGCGCACGTCACGGAGGCGAAGGGCGAGCGCGTCAGGGGCAAGTGGCTGCAAGACTGGGGGGTGCGCACCGACGCTGCTCGGTGCAGGTTCGTGGCCATGCAGGTTGCCTACCAGGCGCGCGATGACACATTGGCTGGGCCGCCCCCGCTGAAGTTTGTCAGGCTGGCACTGGTGCTGGCAGCGACGTTCAGGAACCACGCGAAAGTCTACCTGATAGGGCTCTGGGACATCAGCAACGCGTTCTTCCACGCTGAGATGGATGAGGACGTGTGCGTGGTGCCGCCCTCAGGTGAGGAGGAGCCACGTGTTGTGTGGCAGTTGCGGAAGGCGCTGCACGGGACCAGGAGAGCGAGTAAGCCGTTCCAGCACAAGGTCATTGGGACGTTGATCGATCAGGGTTTCATCCGTATGTTGGTGACGGTGATGGTGTTCTGCCACGTCCAGACGGGCATCTACATCATGATGCACGGAGACGACTTCATGGCCGTGGGGACGCCTGAGGACCTGAGGTGGCTTAGCGAGATCCTGGAGGCGAAGTTCGAGGTGAAGCGGCCGCCGTTCGTGGGGCACGCAGCAGCTGGAGGTGAAGCGACGCCTGGCAATTTCCTGAAGAGGACGGTTGGCTGGACAGAGAAGGGGTTCCACTGGGAGGGCGACGCGAAGCGCGCGAGGACCGTGGTCGAGGCCTACGGGAAGCTGCCAGCGGCGAGGGGGATCTCGTCGGCTTCCAAGAGCATCGGGAAGGAGGTGCCAACGGCGTTGGACAAGCTGGGATACGCTGAGAAGAAGCTGTTCCAGTCGGCGGCGCTGGCGGCACTGTACTTGGCAGCAGGCAGACCTGGCATCCAGTTCGCGACGAGCTGGGTCATGCGCGGGATGCAGGAGCCACTGGTGCTCCACGAGCTGGAGCTGCAGCGGTTGGCTGTCTACTTAGCGACGCACCCGCAGGCGATGTGGAACTTTGAGTATCACGAGTTACCGAGCGAGGTGGCCATCGTGACGGACTCGGACTGGGCTGAAGATGAAGTGACCCGCAGGAACCGTGGTGGAGGATTCGAGTACATAGGAAGTGCGGGCGTTGACAGCTGGGCTGATCAGCAGGCGACACGTGCGCTGAGCAGTGGAGAAGCTGAGCATGTGGGGATGACAAATGGCGCTGCGCGGGGAAGCCTCACGAATAACATGTTCGAGGAGATGGGCATCAGGATGACGGTGAAAGTGTGCGGAGACAGCACGGCCGCCATCGGGATATGCTCGAGGTTGGGTGTCGGACGCATCGGACACCTGGATGTGAAGTACCTGCGGTTACAGGAGAAAGTTGCCGGGAGAGAGGTGCGCACCGTGAAGGTGCCGACGGCAGAGAACGTAGCGGATCTGATGACCAAGGCTCTGGATGCTTTGCTTCGTTGGTTTCCACGTGCAGAGCGTAGTCGAGAATCGTGCAGCTCGAAGCCGTGCGGAGAACAGAGTTTCTATTTACTGAAACCGACCTGTTAGGGCCAGACGTCGGGACGCCGACCATAGCCCGCAGCAGGTTGAGAATCAAGATATAATACCGTGTGGGCTGGGGCGCGATTTCGTGTTTCCGTCAGTTGTCGGTTTGCGACATCTGCCGAGGAGGAATGCGTGTCATATCGCCTCCTAGCTTGATAATGTTTCAGAAGGATATGACTTGCTGCGCTCCGCAGCCCCTCGCGAGGCTCGAGCAAAAAAAAGTTTCGGTTTTGAGATCAGATAGCTCCCGCAGAAACCGCCGCCCGTTTTGGGTTCTCGGAAGGTGGTGGTGAAATTGGCGGAGAGACCGCACACGAACGCGCCCATTGGGGCAGTAGGTGGAGATCACTGTTGGGCACGATCCGTGCGAGGGGTGCGCCGACATTGGCAGGGGCGCCGCATGCTATTGTGTTTATTCGCGCCGTAGGCGACGAGGCACGATCCGTGTGAGAGACGAGCCGACTTCGGCGGACAGACCACATGCACACGTGCTGACTTGGGCCGTTGGTGGAGTTCCTTAGGGAGCACGATCCGTGTGAGAGGTGTGCGGAAATATGCGTGGAAACTACCGTTGAGTGGGCTCATCTGGACGGTGTGTGGGTATGTGCGTGTTTGTGTGTGTGTGTGTGTGTGTGTGTGTGTGTGTGTGTGTGTGTGTGTGTGTGTGTGTGTGTGTGTGTGTGTGTGGGGGGGGCCATATTTGCGGTGCAGCATGCAGCAGGCAGCGCTGTAGCCGCGACAAGAACAGGAGGATGGGGCGGGAGGCGCGAAGGAGGAACCGTTCGGTGCAGCGGAAACATAACGAAGACCCAGCTCGGCAGGAGGGTTTCGGACAACATGCAAATAGTGAGGTCTGCGATTGCGTGTGGTTCCAGGGTGTATTTGCGTAGCGTATTTTCTGGAAGTAGCACGGAATGAATCCTTTTGGCGAGTTTCATTAATCCGTCGATTATTTCGGTAATTCGCCTTGTTTGAAGACATGTGGGGCTAATCGAGACTATCTGGGCGAACCCGTGCGAATGTCCGTTTTGATCATGCTGTTCCGGCGGCGAACTGTTCTTGCTACGGACTGCACGCGTTGCGCCATCATTTTTCTTGTAGTGTGATTTGATGTTCGAGGATGTGTTCTGTGCCGCGTTCTGGAACGGACCACTCTCCGCGTGCAAACGTCCAGCTCCCTTGGACAGATGGACGCATGGGCTTCCCACAGCGCGACAGCGTGGCATCGAGAGTCTGGGGCCCTCGATTCCATGTGTTCGCGGGCTCTCATGCGCTTGGCCCACCCGCGAGTGCCCTGTCGTCTGAAGCGGACTTCCGCGGGAAGAGGCTGCGACTAGCCACCCGTCTGCTGACTGCTCTGCTCTCTCGCCGCTCTTCTCCCCCGCCGTCCGCAGGACTTAGACCTGCCGCGGGGCTCTGGGGAGGACGAAGACGATGACGATGCCCTGCCGCCTGGTTTGGAAGACGAAGGCGACGGGCGCTAGCAATTCGGCACAGTCCACATTACCAGGCGGAGGGCCGACCGCTAGTATCCCCAAGGCCAGTTCCCCTGGTCGTGACTCGCGAGAGCTTCCTGGGGTCGCCGTTGTTGTCCCAGCTGGCGTTTGGCCTGGGGTTGCGGCCGAACGACCCGCGGCCGAGTCATGCAATCAACAGGGCCCTCTGTGAAAAGTCTGGGGGGGCTCTTTTGGCGGGCCCCCGCTGTCGGGAACACTGGCTAGTGGGCTCCGAACCCCTCGTGGAATTCGTAAGCGGGGTGCGGCTCAAGTGTTGTGGGGCGGGGCTCGAGTGGATTCGGTTGCTCTTAGCCCTTGTGTGTGAGGTTCTGGGGGTCGAGAGTCATTGTGTTGCTTGTGGTTCCGTGGTCCCTGGTGGCCTTCGTGGGTGCAGGATTCAAGAGGCAGTGCTGCTGCTCGTGGCCGTGTGGCAGCGTGCACCCCTGGCCGTTGAATGTGCGCGTGCGTTTGTACGTTGTTACGTTAGCGTGAGCGCTTACATCACATGAAAACCCACGCCAGCACGCGGCATGTCTCATCGCTCGTGTTCGGGCGAAGCGCGACGCAACAAATTTCACCACCCCGTATTACATTACATGAGGTTGCGTTGCTCTACGTTGCGCAACACCGCAAGGCCACATCACATTACGTGGCAGAGGGCGCATGAAATTAAGCGTTGTCCGGGGTTGGGTTCCAGGGGCCGTTCGCTTGCTCGTGGTTCCATGGTCCGTCCCGGTCTTACTGCAGATTGATGTTCAGCGTGTGATTCAATTGTTCATGGCCGCGTTGCCACTGGTGGTCGCCGTGCGCGGTTTTTGTCTCGAACGTGGCGGGGCTCGAGGGTTGACCCGGTTGCTCGTGACCCCGTGCCCCTGCGCGGCCTAGGGAGTCCATTCGTTTCTCCTGGTTCATGGTCTGGTCGCCGTGGCGCTTGAAACCTACACTGCGCTACACTATGGTTTGGGAATGCAGTCACAGTCGCAGCTACATAGACCACGCAGTCGCAGGTTTGAGTGAGGTGTTGCTTGGACGTCGGCAAACCAGACCAGACACACGCCAACCACGGGCTTCGTTTGAGTTGATTAGTTTCTTCACTGCCAGCGCTGACGCCTCAAGTGAGTTTCTCGAACGGGGTGCAGTTCATTAGCACATATTTCAGCCGCCAATTGCAATGCTCGAGCAAACACTCCACTCTTCCACTGCAACTTGTCGGCAAACGTAAGCTGTCATAGTGACGCGATGAACTTTGCCATGCTGATCCACGACTTGGGCGAGCGAGTGATGAAGATGATTGTGATGACGATGATGACGATGATGATGATGATGATGATGATGATGATGATGATGATGATGATGACGATGATGATGATGATGATGATGATGATGATGATGATGATGATGATGATGATGATGATGGTGATGACGGCGATGGTGGCGTTGATGGCAGGTGCGACGACAACCAAGATGACGATGACGATGATGGTGCTGATGACTGGGGTGATGGCGATGAAAATTGTGATGGTGATGGGGGTGGGAATGACGGTGATGATGGCGACGGTGGCCATGATGACGCTGGTCATGATGCGAAGGATGGTGTTGGTAAGGATGATGAGGACATGCGTGCGAGCAGAAAATATGAGAATACAGGTGGGCTTCACACCTGTGTTTGCAATGCTCTGTCGTGAAATGCTCAGAGCACCATTGGTTTTGGAAGGGTTTCCCCCCGCGTGCGCAGAGACGCGGGCGTGTGGCACGCATTGTTCTATTCCACAGAACTGGTAGGCGCGCGATAATTATTGAATGGTTTCGATATGTACTCGCGCGGAGGAACAACTGGCAATCTGTGGCTGGAGAAGCCAAGGGAGGGTGCCAGTACCGTTTGGCCAGGGGCGATATCATTGTTTGTTTAAGGTGAACGATCGTGCATATCAAACATGAGGGGGAAATTTTACGCCGAGGGAGTGGATAACGCAGGCCTCTACATGGGGGTAGAGACTAGTTTCTTTTATACGAAGGAGCTGGTGTGGCGTAACTTTTCTGCCGATGCTATCTGTGCAGTGTGCAGTGCACTTGGGGGGGTCTGTTTGGTGGAGCGGAAGTCGCCAACCCCAATGCTCACGCAAACATCTCACCATCCCACCCGCACGTTGTTGGCACAATTCATCTGCCATCATCTCAACAGGCACGCGGGGGGTGTGGACCCCACCCGCGCAGACGAAATCAATCCTTCAGGATAGTGAGTTGTGATGACGATGCTTACGATTTCGGCGACAATGACGATGGCGATGGCGAAGGGGATGACGGGACGCAACCGATGTGCCGATGGTATTTTGCACGGTGCAATTTGCGTGGTGGAATATACGTGGTGCAATTCTTGCGGTGACCATTCCAAGGGCATTAGCGCAATGAAGAGTTATGTTCAAAGGCACCATCAGGAACCAGCGATTGAGCGCCGCCCAACAGGCGCAACATGCCAATAACGCGGTATTCGCAAGCATAAGGCACCATACGGCATCAGCCGTGCACCAGGGTTGGAGCCCGAAACTCGCAACCATCAACGGCATCATATGACACCAGCGAAAGAGCGCCACCCATAGAGCACCAGGGCAAGAGTACGTACGTCGTAACCGTCAAAGGCACCATAGGACATGAGCCATAGAGCGCCACCCATCGAACACCAGGTCAAGAATGCGACTATCGCAACCATGAGAGGCATCACAGGGCCTCAGCGATAGAGCACAACCCGTAGAGCACCAGGGCAAGGACGCGGAAACCATCGCCATCAATAACATCATAGGGCACCAGCGATAGAGCATGATTCATCAAGCACCAGGGCAAGGACGATGACATTGCAACAATAAAAGCCACCAGAGGGCATCAGGCATAGAGCACTACCCACAGAGCACCAGAGCAAGTATCCGAAAATCGAGGCAACACCTTCCAACTCTTCCTCGAGGCGAAGGACCCAACCAGATGCAGTTGTGAGTACCGTCGTTGCGGGTATCGCCTTCGGGGGATCTCCTCATGGGACGAGGAAGCATGCGAAGGGTGTGTCGATGTGGGGCGGGGCCGCCATGTGGGCGCTGCCACTGGTGCATTAGGCGGAACGCACTACGGTGCCGCTACAAGTGTGAGGGGTGCGCCGCAGTGGGGCGGGGGTGCCATTGGGGCTTTCGGTGGAGCTCCCTATGAGGCAACGAAACAGTTTAATGGGCGGGGGAAACGCAAGCGAGTACAGCCACTGGGGCCTTCGGTGCAGCTCCCCATGAGGCCACGAAGCGATGTACTGGGTGGGGGGAGCGCATGCGAACACCGCCACTGGGGCCTTCGGTCGGTGGAGCTCCCTATGAGGCCACGAAGCGCTGCACTGGGTGGGTCAACCGCATGCGAGTGCATCCACTGGGGCTTTCGGTGGAGCTCCTTATGGGTCCACGAAACGCTGTACTGGCTGGGGGTGAAGCATGCTGGCGGTGCCACTGGGGCCTTCGGTGGAGCTCTCTATGGAGCCACGAAGCGTTGTACTTGGTGGGGGTGACGCATGCGGGCGGTGCCACTAGGGCTCTCGATGGAGCTCCCTATGGGGTCACGAAGCGCTGTACTGGCTGGGGGGTGACGCATGCGGGCGGTGCCGCTGGGGACTTCGGTGGAGCTCCCTGTGGGGCCACGGAGCGCTGTGCTGGGTGGGAGGTGACGCATGCGGGCGGTGCCACTGCTGCCTTCGGTGGAGCCCCTTGTGGGGCGCTGTAGTGGGCGGGGGGGTGACGTATGCGGGCGGTGTCACTGGGGCCTTCGGTGGAGCTCCCTAGATGGCCACGAAACGCTGTACTGGGTCAGGGTGACGCATGCGGGCGGTGCCACTGGGGCATTCTGTGGGGCTCCCAATGGAGCCACGGAGCGCTGTACTAGGCGGGGGTGACGCATGCGGGCGGTGCCACTGGGGCCTTCGGTGGAGCTCCCTATGGGGTCACGAAGCGCTGTACTGGGTGGGGAGTGACGCATGGGGTCGGTGCCACTGAGGCCTTCGGTGAAGCTCCCTATGGGGCCACGAAGCGTTGTACTGAGTGGGGGGTGACGCATGCGGGCGGCCTTCGGTGGAGCTCCTGATGGGGCCACGAAGCGCTGTACTGGGTGGGGGTGACGAATGCGGGCGGTGCCACTGGGGCCTTCGGTGGAGCTCCCTAGATGGCCACGAAACGCTGTACCGGGCGGGGAGGACGCATGCGGGCGATACCGTTGGGGCCTTCGGCGGTTGTATTGGGTGGGGGTGACGCATGCGGGCGGTGCCACTGCGGCCCTCGGTGGAGCTCCCTGTGGGGCCACGAAGCGCTGTACTGGGTCAGGGTGACGCATGCGGGCGGTAGCACTTGGGCCTTCGGTGGAGCTCCCTCTGGGACCACGAAACGTTGTACCGTTAGGGGAAACGCAGGGGGGAGGGAGGAGGTGAAGGAGGAGGAGGAGGAGGAGGAGAGGAGCGGAGAGGAACGCAGGGGCGCTGTCTCTTCAAACGGAGGACCCAACACCACAGGATGGTTGGGAATACGACATGCTCAGTGCAAACATTTTACGGGCAATGAACGGCTGGGCATTTGTAACGCCACCGTTGGGCCTCCCGTTCGCCCTGGGTCAGTTCCATGCCGCTCTCCGACCAGGGTGCTTCCCAGGTCCGCCCCCTTGGCGCCCCCCGACTCCGTGGGCCTCTCTCTGGCCAGGCCCCACCCCACACCAGGCTAGAAAAAGCAGAAGAAGGAGGAGAGGAGGATAATTGAAATGATGGTACGAACGTGGCGACCGACATTGGCTTGCCACGGACTGGCTAACCCGTGTGTGCGACTCTAGATGGGTCTGCGTGATCGGACGCCCTTCGATCCCACACGGCGATCTTGTATACAGTTTTTGTTTCCAGGGTATGTTTAGGCCGAAGGGGCGATTCAGTTGCTCGTGGCCCATCGGCCCCTCGTGGCCCTCGAGAGTCTGTTCATTCGATTGACCGCGGCCCTGGAGCTACGACATGATTTGGTTTCTTGGCGTCCCGTGGCGTCGTGTCGTCGCGTGGCTGCCTTCGCGAACGTCTGGGCATGATTTGATTGCTCGGAGCCCTTGGCCACCTGGGTCCTCGCGTGTGGGGTGGGTTTCAAGTGTCGTTTCGATTGCTGGCAGCCCATGTACCGAACGGGACACGCCAGGGTGCCTACTAAGCGACATTAGGCGGAAATCCCAGCGAATCACCCATCAGAGGATCAGCAAGAATGGGAGGACTTCCTAGCTTCCGGCGCCCACAGCTGCACAGCTTCGCAGTCACGGCAAGGCATAATCACGAACAACGATTCTCCCGTGTAGGTGATTTTACAAACAGCTTACACACTCCAAAATTACTAGTGTCTTGATTTGGGCGGGGTGGTGGGGTGGCCACAGGGCCACCCAACTCGCGCCATCCGATGGTCCCCTGAGTTTTGCTGGCGACATGTTGGCGATTCATATGTGTAGCCCTAGCACGATGATGCACAGGGGTACTCGCAGCACACAACCTTGCAATGAAAAATTAGCCTGGTGAAGGATCCAACCATATGCAATTGTTCGCACCGCAATTCTGAATATCTTCTTCGTTGGCGCTCCCTATGGGGCCACGAACCCTGTGAGGGGTGTGCCGAAATGAGTGCGGCGTACGCACGTGGACGGTAGAACTGGGGCCTTCGGTGGTGTGGGGGACGCAAGTGGACGGTGGGCCACGAAGCGTGTGAGGGGTGTGCCCACATGGGTGTGGGGGACGCATGTGGACGGTGGCACTGGGGCCTTCGGTGGAGCTCCCGATGAGCCCACGTAACGTGTGAGGGGTGTGCCGAAATAAGTGTGGTGGACGCATGTGGACGGTGGCACTGGGGCATTCGGTGGAGCTCCCGGTGGGGCCACGAAACGTGTGAGGGGTGTGCCGAAATGGGTGTGGTGGGCGCATGCGAACGCAGCCACTGGCGCCTTCGGTGGAGCTCCCAGTGGGGCCACGAAGCGCGTGAGAGGTGTGCCGAATTAGGTGCCGTGGGCGCATGCGAACGCAGCCATTGGGGCCGTCGGTGGAGCTCCTTATGGTGCCGCGAAACGTGTGATGGGTGTGCCAATGGGTGCGGTGGGCGCATGCGAACGCAGCCATTGGGGCCGTCGGTGGAGCTCCCTATGGTGCCGCGAAACGTGTGATGGGTGTGCCAATGGGTGCGGTGGGCGCTGCGACAGCAGCCACTGGGGCCGTCGATGGAATTCCCTATGGGGCCAAGAAGTGCGTGAGATGTGCGCCGAAATAGGCGCGGTGGGCGCATGCGAACGCAGCCATCGGTGGAGCTCCCTCTGGTGCCGCGAAACATGTGATGTGTGTGCCGAAATGCGTTCGGTGGGCGCATGCGAACGCAGCCGCTGGGGCCTTCGGTGGAGCTCCCGGTGGGCACGAAGCGTGTGAGGGGTGTGCTGGAATGGGCGTGGGTGACGCATGCGAGCGGTGGCACCGGGGCCTTCGGTGGAGCTCCCAATGGGGCCACGAAACGTTTGAGGGGTGTGCCGAAACGAGTGTGCGTGACGCATGCGTGCGGTGGCACTGGGGCATTCGGTGGAGCTCCCGGTGGGGCCACGAGGCGTGTGAGGGGTGTGCCGAAATGGGTGTGCGTGATGCATGTTGGCGGTGGCACTGGGGCCTTCGGTGGAGCTCGCTATGGGGCCACGAAATGTGTGAGGGGTTTGCCGAAATGAGTGTGCGTGATGCATGCAGGCGGTGGGTGTGCGTGACGCATGCGGGCGGTGGCACTGGGGCCTTCGGTGGAGCTCCCGGTGGGGCCACGAAGCGTGTGAGGGGTGTGCCGAAATGAGTGTGCGTGACGCATGCGGGTGGTGGCACTGGGGCCTTTGGTGGAGCTCCCGGTGGGGCCACGAAACGTGTGAGGGGTGTGCCGAAATGGGTGTGCGTGATGCATGCGGGCGGTGGCACTGGGGCCTTCGGTGGAGCTCGCTATGGGGCCACGAAGCCTGTGAGGGGTGTGCCAAAGTGAGGGGGTGACGGAAGGAGGGAGGAGGAGGAGGAGGAGGAGGAGAAGGAGGAGGAAAGGAGGAGGAGGACGAGGAGGAGGAGGAGGAGGAGGAGGAGGAGGGAGGAGGAGGAGGAGGAGGAGAGGAGGAGGAGGAGGAGGAGGAGGAGGAGGAGGAGGAGGAGGAGGAGGGAGGAGGAGGAGGAGGAGGAGGAGGAGGAGGAGGAGGAGGAGGAGAGGAGAGGAGGAGAGGAACGCGGGGACCGTCTCTTCAAAACGAGGACCCAACACCACAGGATGGTTGGGAACATTAGTTTGTTGGAGAGACCTTTGTTGCAAGCCTCAGGCGAAGAGGCGGCCGACAGGTGGAACCTCCGCAAGGACGGAAACAGGGAGCAGCTAGAGCCCATCCACCAGAGGCTCTTGGAGGACCGCGAGCACATCAAGGCTCGACCTCAGAAATGCGCGAGCCACCTTGCCCTGTGGAGGAGAGCGCTCTGTGGACAGCGGGGATCCCTTGGGGCATAAGCGTGCGACGGCTCGCACAGCCGAGGTGGACAGGGCGGAAATCGAAAAACAAAATGACTAAACATGGAAACGCTGAGGTCTGCGCGGATTTCTTGGATCGGTGCTGGACTCCCCTCCTTGGCGCGCGGAGTGCGCCAGGTGCGGCGCCGGAGGCGCCGCCAGGGGGCTCCAGCGCCGATCCAAGAAATCCGCGCGGATCTCCGAGATGTTCCGTCTATGTCGGTGTTTGTTTACCGAGGAAAGGGACGTGGGCCGTTGCGATCGCTCAGTTGACGAGGCCACCCGCGACGGCGCGGAGATTGCCGATGGCGTCGTGGCTCGCGGCCCGGGGCGCAGGGCAGCTCCTCTCCAGAGGGGTGGGGGGCGAAAGCGCGAGGATGCCCCCGCCAGGTGGCGCTTCGCACAGCAAGAATCGGCGGCGCACACGGGGGGAAGTGAGGAGGAGAAGTCCCTCCCAGAGGGCGGCGGGACTTCTCAGAAGCCCTCCGGCTTTTGAGAAGTTTTCTGTGTCTTCGGGGGAGGCTTAGAAACTTGTTCAGAAGGCCCGAGGCCTGGCCAGTCTTCAGACGAGCCCTGGCCCTCTGACTTCCCCCCCGAGTGTGGTGACCACGCCGTGGGGTGAGCCAGAAGGGATTCGGGGTCACCTCACGGTTTCGGGACTCGGGCCGTTCTCCGAGGACGTCTCGGGCGACCGGGGCCCTCCAGGGTCCAAAGACCGCGTGGTGACTGACCGTGCGGTGATGAATCTTGGGATTCCGAGGTCACCGCGCGCTCTGTCACCACACGGTTTGGGGACCCAAAAGTCCCCGCCTGGTTGCGTTTCGCGCAGCAAGAGACCCGAAGAAAGTTGGGGTTGCCTGGGTCGGCTCACAATAGAGCACTCGGGCAGGAGGGGAATTGTGGGGAGAAAGCTTGCGGCACCGCGCCTCGCAGAGTGGTAGACAGAGCTGGGAGACTGCGTCCAACCAAACGGCACGACATCTAGCCAGATAGCATTGCGCGATCAATCGGACGACGGGTTTGCAAGACTCTTGCCGATTATAGCAGGGTGTTCCACGTTTTGCTAGTCCGTCGACAGGGTGCCCCGATGAAGGGGTGCAGTGAACTCTTTTCTGCGCTTCCATAAAGGTCTCGAAGATGTTCTCGTACGTGCTCCGGCATTCTGCCCACAAGATGGACGTGGGGATCCGCAAGGATGGATATGTGCGGTTGCGAGACATAATGAAACTTAGGAATTTCAAACCTTACAACCTAGAGGAGCTCATGGCTGTGGTTTACTTTGACGAAAAGGAGAGGTTCACCATGGTACGTGAGTTCGACGGGGAGCTGCTGATTCGCGCCAACCAGGGCCATACGATGAAAGTTGTGGAATCTGACATGCTGCTCGAACTTGTCGTTGACCCCGAAACGGTGACGGAGTGCGTTCATGGCACGTACTTGGTGCACTGGCCTTTCATCAAAAAACAAGGACTTTCCAAGGTAGCTCGCAACCACATTCATTTAGCAAACGGGATGCCCGAGGATGGAAAGATCCGAGGGATGCGCGCGACCGCGGAGCTCTTCGTGTACGTTGACGTTCCGAAGGCGATGGAGGAAGGCGTTATCTTTTACAGGAGCAAAAACGACGTGATACTGACCCAGGGCATTAACGGATGGTTGCCCCCCAAATACTTTCACAAGGCCGTGAGGATCGACTACAACACGTGCGACATCGAGGAGATGGAGTTCGAGCCCGAAGCTGAGGTCCCAGCGTGGGCAGCAGAGCTCGCACCATCGGGGCCAGGTGAGCAGGGCACGTATCTCATCAAGAATTTGGAGGCCATTGCCTCTGCCAGCCTCGATCGGCCACCCCATCGGCATGGTTCCAGGGACAGTGTGATCGAGCCGATTGGGGGTTCCAGGAGGACCAAGACCTAGCTCCAGACTATCCCTAGCACTTTGCCAATCCGTTCGAACCCCATTTTGCATTTGACTAGAGAGGTTGTCCAGCTGCCTGCGGCAAATCCGCCACCGTGCCAGCGAAGCACTCTGTGCGGGGACCATCCGAGCACCGCTCAGAAGGCCGTCACATGTGACACCTCGCGTCTCCACTCCTCGAGGAGCTCTCATGGAGCTTAGTTGGGCCGCCTTGGGTTGTCTTGGGTTCCTGTGGGGCAATATTGGGGGTCCCGTGAAGCACTCTTTGACCGTCTCGGGGCCCTCCTGAGCCTGGAACCCTCTAGGGCTGCCTTTGAGCCGTCTTGGCTGTCTGAAAGGTCTCTAGGGGTCGTCTTGAGGCCCTCTTGGGCCATCTGGGGCCTTCTTCGACCGTCTCGGGTCCGAAGGCCTTCTTTGGCCAGCTCGGGCCTCTCTTGGGGAAGCCTTCGGCCGTCTAGCGGCCCTCTTGGGGCTCCCAGTGGGCCCAAGTTGACCGTTTTTCGACCGAAGAGCTTGGACAGCGAAAAACAGCACATTGGTTTAGGACAAGCAGTGCTTTAGACTCCTGGGGAGCGTCTTGGGGGTGTCTTGGAGCCCCCTCGCGAGCGCTCATGAGTGCGGACCCCTGGAGCTGCGCCCATCTGCGCCCGCTTCACCATCTGGCGCGCCTGCTGCGGGCTGCGCCCCTCCTCGTCGAAGGTTTGGTCCTCCGCGCCTCTCTTGGTGCCCACACCTCTGGTCAGCGGACAGGCCAGGGGTATGTCATCACCACCAATATCTTCATCGCGTGGCCGGCCGCGACTTTGATTAGCGAGCTCGGCGCGATGGGGTGAACGTAAACCCTCACCTCGGGATCGCGCCTCCCAGCTTGCTTTCTCAAAGGTGTGGGTGGGATTTTCCCGAGTATCCCGAGACTCCCTGCTGTCACCCCGACCTGAGTACTAGTCCTTCGCGCCAGTCTGAACTAGCGTTCCCCCCACCACACCCGCGGCGTCGACCGCGTGGCGCATGTTGGATGGCGACGCAGGGCTTGGGCCAGAGGCACCAGGACTTTCGCGATGACGTGTCGTGAACCTGATGCTGCCACTCGCTCTCCTCGACCTCTGTGAAGGCGGGAGCACCGCTGAGTCGCGACTGGCCTTCCGTGACTGCGGCAGTCGAGTGTTGCGGCTCGGGTTGCTGCTGGTTGCCGCCGCCATTGCGGCCGCTACGATGGCAGTTTCAGTCGCTCCGCTGGAGCACGAAACTCAGGCCCCCTGCTCGTCGACGTTGCCGGAGTAGCTGATGCAGTGCAATTCTTCGCCCACGCAGTGGCTTTCGTGCGGTCCCAAGGGCCATCCTCAAAGGTCGTCGTACCGTAGCTGCCCTGGTACGACCATGTTGAAACGCAACAAGTATCGCGTTGGAGGCGTCTCGGTTGAACACGCTGCGTGTTGGTTCAGCACGGGTTGACCTACGTCTTGGCGGATGCATCGCGCGAGGCTTGCATACCCTATCACCGTTTTTGAGCTCCGTGTCAGCACGCTTCGAGTTGTGCGTTGCGTACCAGTCGGCACCACCCAAACCTACTTATACTATGTGTGCGTCGGCCCCGTACGGGCGACGCGCCCGCTCAGAAATCTAATAGTAGAAGCTCCGTGGCGGTTGTTTTCTGGCCATATCTTTCGCGGAACGATCTACTGCAGGACTTGCATGCTTTATGTCTGTGTTGGACCTGCCCGAGTCTGGGGCCACCTCGCTTTTCGGGGCCACGCTTGAAGCTCGATTAGGGAGCCTATAGTTTCATTCCCGCTCTTCTTTCCTTCCCTCGTCTTTTCCTCCACTAGTTATCCCATAAGATATGCTGGATGAACGGCAGTGGCCGTTCATGCTGGAGGAGTGACGACACAATGTTTGCAACCGCGGCCCGATATTTTTTGAGGGCAAATTCGTATCAGTCGCCATCTGGTTTCATCTGGCATCGCTTCTCCTCTCCTCCTCCTTGTCGTCCTGCACTTGCATGGTGTCCTGTTCCCATCAGATGGGAAGCTGGCAGTTTTCGTCATCGGGAGTCTTCTGCCGAACAAAAATCAGCGAATAGTACTGGTATGTCCTTCTGCGTCCCAATCAGGGCAGCTAAGCGCCGTGCTGATGAGATTACTGCCCGCGCTGCCAATCGGCTCCGAGTTTCCAAGAGCTCCGACCTCACACATCCACCCCGCCACGGCCCTCGCGACCCGGGCCTGCTTCGCGTATCTCGCCGGGTCGGCTGCCCCTCGCTGAACAGCTCGCCCTCGCCCACCTACTGCAACCACCCTGGGAGGGCCCATGGCATGCCCCCACCACTCTCCCAGGGTCGACTGCAGCGCACCTGAAGCCGATGCGCAGCTCGTCGGCCCCAGCGGTTTGGAGCCCCGACCCGTCCACGAAGCTGTCGCCTTTGAAGTTACCTCCTGGCATTCAGTGGACTGGGCAACTCACTCTGTCGCGCTCGCTGGGCCGGGGTCGCGGCGCGCGCCACCAGCTCGGCAGTGAGCATCTGTGACGGGACGGTTATTCATCGCTTCGCTCATTCCGCCGGCCCGTATTGTGCCATCGCAGGCGTTTGCCTGCGCATTCGTGGCCTCTTGGAGGCCGTTTGGGGGCCTCTTAGGGTTTCTATTTGGGCCTCTTGGGGTCTCGTGGGGCCTCCAGGGGGCCTCCAGGGCTCTCTTGGGGGCCTCCTGGGGCCTCCTGGGGGCAACTTTGATTGGTGGTTCGTGTTCGCCCTCTTGACACCTCTTGGGGCCGTCTTGGGGCCCTGTTGGGCGATCGTGGACGCCTCTGGGGGGGTATGGGGGCCCTCTTGGGCCGTCTTGGGGCCCCCTCTGGGAGGCCTCTCGGGCCGTCTTGGGGCGGTCTTGGTGGCCTCTGGGGACATCTTGGAGCGTCGGAGGCCCGCAAACGCGAGAACGTGAAACACATCGAAAACACCCTGGAAATCAATGACTTGTTCCTCTTTTGGCCCTCTTTGGCGTCCTCGTGGAGCGCTCTTGGGGTTTTTTGGGGGCCTCTTGGGCAGTCTTGGGGCCATGTGAGGCGTCTTGGAGCGCTCTTTGGCCGTGATTCCGATTCGTGGATCCTTGTGGTGCTGCCTTGAGGTTCTTTGGGCCGCTCCTTGGGCGATCTGGAGGGCCCCGAAAACCGCCCCCGGGAGTTCCGGCATCCGTGACTGGGACTGGCCGGGATTTCCGGCAGGTGCTTTTCGTCAGGGGACCCCCAGGGGCAGCCACGCGCGCGCGAACCAGAAGTATTCTGAAGCTGTTACCGGAGATTTTAGCACGCCTTTGGCCCGTTGGGCCGGCGAATTGAGAAGCTAGCGTTGGCATGGTAGCTATGGCAATCGCTGCAACACAGTGGACCTCGCTCTTCCGCCGCTCCCTTTCCCATACGATGCAGTGCCCATGGTGATGGGCAAGTGTGCATGGCGCCTCGAGACACTTCTGGCAGAGATCGTAATCACCGAGGCCTGCAGCATGGAATCCCTCCTGCGGGTGCTGCCCGTGCGCGACGGTGGATCTCAGCACGCCCGCTTCCTTCGTCAGCTTCACCTTCCGTGGGTTGCTGACGATGTCTTTAGTTACATGGGTTTGCTGCGAAGCCCCCTTGCTGGGTGCTCGAATCCTTCGTGTGGGAGGCCACCTGCTCGCATTGCAATTGTAAGAAGGCCCTCCCGGGATCTTCTTCGAGCCCGTTCTTCTCGCCCTCGTTAGTGATCCATTTGGTCCGTACTGGAACTCTTTCGGTCCAGATCGCGGTAGCCCACTTGATCAACGGGAGCCTCCTTAATTGGAGGGAGAGTGTGAACGGCCTCTGCGCCGTGTCGCAACCCAGGCCCCCGCCATGGCCCGGAATTCCCTCAGCTGAAATTTCAATTTCGCCGTTGCCAGGCACGCTGGCCCCGTGCGTCATGGTCATCCCCGCCTGCCTTGGTGACACTTCAGGCAGCAGGCTCGTGTGAGCCTCATCCTCCTCTTCTGCTTGGCCATACTCGCCTTGATGACGATGGTTCGCCTCCTGGAGCTTATAATCAGTGGGGTCCACGTCCAGGTTTCTGTTGTGCGGCCCCGCCTGGAACTTGATCCGTTTGCTGGATTTCAGCTTCTCCGTCACCCTCTTGGGAGGAGGACGAGGAGGAGGCGAGAGGAGGAAATGTGAGGCGAGGTTAGGAAAGAGGAAGGGCCAGGAGGACGAAGGAGGAGTAGGAGAGGGCACGCGACGGGCCAGGACTTTTCATCAGGCTGGGCCCATACACGGTGCGCTTGGGATCCAATCTGGCCCGCTTAAAGGGCGCTGTCTCAGCACGCCGCGGCCATGGGGTCAATCATCTGTTGCTTCTCCTGCTCCTCCTAATCATCCTCATGCTCCTCCTGCTAGGCCTCAGGATTTTGTTTTCCCCGGCAGTGCCATCGTGTTGCCGGGCCTCCGTGGCTTCGTACGTCTGGGCGTCGAAGTGGAGCGGTTCGGGCTGGTGCTGGCGTATTCGCAGGCCTGCGATCGCCGCTCGTTTCGTCGAGTGAGGGTGAGGGAGGGAGTACGAGATTGAGAGAGGGAGAGAGGGAGAGAGAGAGAGAGAGAGCGAGAACACGAACAGAGAAAGCAACACAACAAACTAATTTTCTAAGTCGTGGCGCTCACTGGTCGCACGATCAGCGCAGCCAATCCCACGACCGGCCAGCGATTGATGCATTCGGCGGAGTGGCCACCCATAGAAAATTGTCAGGCATACTTGAGAAGATGCGGGTCGATTTCGCCCACCTGTTTTTTGCTTCGGGATCTGGGAGTAAGAAGACGGATGGGGCACAAGGGGAAGCCCTGCAGGCGAGTTTAGAAGCTTTGGCGAGCGAGGGCCTGGTCGATCTTGAGCTGAAGGCCCGAGACCATCCAAGGCGTCCAGAAGTCGTGGCTTCTGGCCGGATCGCGAGCCTGGCTGGATTCAGCAGTTCGGGTCGACGGAGCGCGCGCGCGCTGAGGCATTGATCGGCAATTGTAAGAAGCGCCTTTCGGAGATCAACGACCTGAAGGCGATGCAGGACGGAACTCAGCCTGCTGCTCTGATTGTTGCGCAGTCGTCGGGTGGAGGGTGCGCCCGGAGGTGCGAGACCATGGCGTTCTCCAGACGACGAAGTTGCCCTGACACCCGTGTCAGGGTCGATCGTCCACTGCGCCGCACGTGCCCGCTTCAGGCCCTCTGGCTCGTCAGAAGTAGGCGGGATGTCTAAGGAGCCCAGTGGAAGCAAAAGATAACCAGCGCCCCCGCCAGGGAAGCCCTTCAAGGAAGAAGCCTGGCGGAAGCACAGCGGCCCCCTCTAGGAAACGTTGCGGTGGAGCCTTGGGGACCTCCTTGCTCAGGCGCATCCACTGTCCCGTGGAGGCGATTCGAACGACCCACGAGTGTTCTAAGATGTACCAGAGGCCTTGAGACCAGCAAGTTTCTGGTCTGGTCCACCTCTTCGCCAGCGTGTTCCAGTCTTTGTGTCGCTGAAAATCTGCGCAGAAGCCATTGAACTTGACGCGTGAGCAGTTGGACGGGTGTGCGATTTTGGGAGGCCGGGGTGTTCTGGGAGTCCCCTCGGCCGCACAGGCCGTATCAAAATGACACGTCAGATGACCAAAACACGTCTGACCTTTTAGCATCGATGGAGATGTATACAATGCGGCACTACATGCACGTCCACAGACATGCATAATCGCAAGCATACGCACACGCATGCTACTGACGGGGAGGGGGGGCCTCCTCGCCCCCTCCTTCTCGCCAACCGATTCCTTATCCATCTCTCCATCCTGCTCTTCCCGCTGCTGCTCCTCGTCCGATTCACCATCCTCCTCTTCCTCTACATATGCTCCTCCTCCTCATCCTGTCCTCTTCCTCCTCCTCATCATCATCCGCTTCTTTGGCCCTCTCCCCCTACTCCCCCTCCAGCCATCCTCCCCCTTCTTCTCCCTCCTCTTCCGTTTTCCCCTTCATCATTGTTGTACTCCTTTTCTCTTCTTCCTCGGCCTCTTGCTCCTCCTTCTCCCCTTCCCTTCTCCCCATACGACGCTTCCTCGTCCTTCCCCCCCCCCCGCCCCTCCTCGGCGTCGTCGTCGTCCTCCTCATCCTTATGTTTTTGTTTCTCTCTCTCTCTCTTTCTCTTTCTTTCTCTCGCTTTCTCTCTCTCTCTCTCACTCTCTTTTTCTCTCTCTCTCTCTCTCTCTCCCTCTCTCTCTCTTCCTCTCTCTCTCTCTTTCTCTTTGGTTCTTCCTCTCTCTCTCTCTCTCTCTCTCTTTCTTTCGGCGATCAGACGTTCCATGTTCCAAGACGGCCCACGAGGACCCCGAGCCCCCTCCCTTTTGTGGACAATAGTTAAAATTGTATCTACCGATGTGGTTTGCTTGTGGACTTGACTTCGGATGTTGTTCCGTGGCTTTGATTTTGGCTTGAAGAATACGGTTTGATGAAGCTATGTGACGTGTTGGATGTGGCGGTTGCGGTGGTAAAAGCGGAGGCTCCACCATCACCGCCACGCCCATTACCCAGTGGCGATGGAAAAGGTATTGGCGGTGATGATTATGATGGATGTGCTATTGGTGATAGCAGCAACAAAATGATCCGCAATCTGCTGATGGGGGTCGCACTCACAACCGTCGCAACCAATTGTGCCGCCACTAGTGACTGTCAAAGGGTGCGGGGGAATCGGTGGAGTAGTATCTAAGTTGGTGTTAGAAGCGGCTGTGGAAGTATTGCGAAGGCCTGACGGCCGGTGCCGCCGACCCTGTTCGCAACGGCAGCAAGAGGCACGGGCTGTGGGATGGTTTGGGGGAACGGGGAGAAGGACGAGAAGGTGGGGGAGGGAGGTGTCGTATCTGACCCGGGACTTCCCCGGGACTCCCCCGGGACCCCCCCCGGGACCTCCTCTCCCCCCCCCGTCGGGGAAGGGAAAGGGAAGGGGCTTCCCTTCGACTCAATGACGACGTTGCTCAAGGTCGGTACGGGGGGGGGGCGTCGTATCTGACTCGGGGGGGGGTCGCTACCCCCCCCGCTACCCCCCCCCCCTCCCGGCGGGGGAGGAATGAAAGGGAAGGGGCTTCCCTTCGACTCAATTACGAGGTTGCTCAAGGTCGGCTTGGCTGGAGCCCAGGGGAAGAGGAGTCCCAGGGGGGGGCGTCGTATCTGACCCGGGGGGGGGGTCGCCCCCCCCCCCCTCCCGGCGGGGGAGGGATCAAAGGGAAGGGGCTTCCCTTCGACTCAATTACGAGGTTGCTCAAGGTCGGCTTGGCTGGAGCCCAGGGGAAGAGGAGTCCCAGGGGGGGGCGTCGTATCTGACCCGGGGGGGGGGTCGCTACCCCCCCCCCCCTCCCGGCGGGGGAGGGATCAAAGGGAAGGGGCTTCCCTTCGACTCAATTACGAGGTTGCTCAAGGTCGGCTTGGCTGGAGCCCAGGAATCTGAGGTTGCTCAAGGGGTCGGGCTGGAGCCCAGGGGAAGAGGAGTCCCAGGGGGGGGCGTCGTATCTGACCCGGGGGGGGGGTCGCTACCCCCCCCCCCCTCCCGGCGGGGGAGGGATCAAAGGGAAGGGGCTTCCCTTCGACTCAATTACGAGGTTGCTCAAGGTCGGCTTGGCTGGAGCCCAGGGGAAGAGGAGTCCCAGGGGGGGGCGTCGTATCTGACCCGGGGGGGGGGTCGCTACCCCCCCCCCCCTCCCGGCGGGGGAGGGATCAAAGGGAAGGGGCTTCCCTTCGACTCAATTACGAGGTTGCTCAAGGTCGGCTTGGCTGGAGCCCAGGGGAAGAGGAGTCCCAGGGGGGGCGTCGTATCTGACCCGGGGGGGGGTCGCTACCCCCCCCCCCCTCCCGGCAGGGGCTTCCCTTCGACTCAATTACGAGGGCGTCGCTTGGCTAGTCCCAGGGGGGGGCGTCGTATCTGACCCGGGGGGGGGGTCGCTACCCCCCCTCCCTCGGGGAGGGATGAAGGGAAGGGGCTTCCCTCGTACGAGGTTGCTCAAGGTCGGCTTGGCTGGAGCCCAGGGGAAAGGAGTCCCAGGGGGGGGGTCGTATCTGACCCGGGGGGGGGTCGCTACCCCCCCCCCCCTCCCGGCGGGGGAGGGATCAAAGGGAAGGGGCTTCCCTTCGACTCAATTACGAGGTTGCTCAAGGTCGGCTTGGCTGGAGCCCAGGGGAAGAGGAGTCCCAGGGGGGGGCGTCGTATCTGACCCCGGGGGGGGGTCGCTACCCCCCCCCCCCCCCGGCGGGGGAGGGATCAAAGGGAAGGGGCTTCCCTTCGACTCAATTACGAGGTTGCTCAAGGTCGGCTTGGCTGGAGCCCAGGGGAAGAGGAGTCCCAGGGGGGGGCGTCGTATCTGACCCGGGGGGGGGGTCGCTACCCCCCCCCCTCCCGGCGGGGGAGGGATCAAAGGGAAGGGGCTTCCCTTCGACTCAATTACGAGGTTGCTCAAGGTCGGCTTGGCTGGAGCCCAGGGGAAGAGGAGTCCCAGGGGGGGGCGTCGTATCTGACCCGGGGGGGGGTCGCTACCCCCCCCCCCCTCCCGGCGGGGGAGGGATCAAAGGGAAGGGGCTTCCCTTCGACTCAATTACGAGGTTGCTCAAGGTCGGCTTGGCTGGAGCCCAGGGGAAGAGGAGTCCCAGGGGGGGGCGTCGTATCTGACCCGGGGGGGGGGTCGCTACCCCCCCCCCCCTCCCGGCGGGGGAGGGATCAAAGGGAAGGGGCTTCCCTTCGACTCAATTACGAGGTTGCTCAAGGTCGGCTTGGCTGGAGCCCAGGGGAAGAGGTCTCCCAGGGAAAGGGAAGGACAGAGACGACGAGTACAAAGAATGACGGAGATGACGGCTCGAACGGCAAAAACCCCTCACACACGCCGACACGGCTTCAAAGGGAAGGGGCCCTTCGACTCAATTACGAGGTTGCTCAAGGTCGGCTTGGCTGGAGCCCAGGGGAAGAGGAGTCCCAGGGGGGGGCGTCGTATCTGACCCGGGGGGGGGGTCGCTACCCCCCCCCCTCCCGGCGGGGGAGGGATCAAAGGGAAGGGGCTTCCCTTCGACTCAATTACGAGGTTGCTCAAGGTCGGCTTGGCTGGAGCCCAGGGGAAGAGGAGTCCCAGGGGGGGGCGTCGTATCTGACCCGGGGGGGGGGTCGCTACCCCCCCCCCCCCCCCGGCGGGGGAGGGATCAAAGGGAAGGGGCTTCCCTTCGACTCAATTACGAGGTTGCTCAAGGTCGGCTTGGCTGGAGCCCAGGGGAAGAGGAGTCCCAGGGGGGGGCGTCGTATCTGACCCGGGGGGGGGGTCGCTACCCCCCCCCCCCTCCCGGCGGGGGAGGGATCAAAGGGAAGGGGCTTCCCTTCGACTCAATTACGAGGTTGCTCAAGGTCGGCTTGGCTGGAGCCCAGGGGAAGAGGAGTCCCAGGGGGGGGGCGTCGTATCTGACCCGGGGGGGGGGTCGCTACCCCCCCCCCCTCCCGGCGGGGGAGGGATCAAAGGGAAGGGGCTTCCCTTCGACTCAATTACGAGGTTGCTCAAGGTCGGCTTGGCTGGAGCCCAGGGGAAGAGGAGTCCCAGGGGGGGGCGTCGTATCTGACCCGGGGGGGGGTCGCTACCCCCCCCCCCCTCCCGGCGGGGGAGGGATCAAAGGGAAGGGGCTTCCCTTCGACTCAATTACGAGGTTGCTCAAGGTCGGCTTGGCTGGAGCCCAGGGGAAGAGGAGTCCCAGGGGGGGGCGTCGTATCTGACCCGGGGGGGGGTCGCTACCCCCCCCCCCCTCCCGGCGGGGGAGGGATCAAAGGGAAGGGGCTTCCCTTCGACTCAATTACGAGGTTGCTCAAGGTCGGCTTGGCTGGAGCCCAGGGGATGAGGTCTCCCAGGGAAAGGGAAGGACAGAGACGACGAGTACAAAGAATGACGGAGATGACGGCTCGAACGCAAAAGCCCCTCACACACGCCGACAGGGTCGGCGGATTATCGGGCGTTGGCGGTAGTGGTAATTAGTTGAGGATCGCCTCCAACGCCACAGCGGCCATCGCCTGCCAACGGCAGTGTTAGC